GGGTGGCAGGTACGGATGGAGGGACGCGGTCCTCACCTTCCCCCAGCACAGCCGAAACCCCGAATCCATCCTCCCCCTTGGATCAGGCCACGGCCACGGAAAATCTCTCTTAGCTTGGAGGCTGCTGGAGCCGGGGTTGGTGCTGTGATGCATAAGCGTTGTCAGATGTTTTCTCGAACGAGTTGAACTTCTCAAACCAGTTCAAGCACATAGCAACATAGCATCCTCCCTGGGGCGGGGAAGCTCGTCCTTCATTACTGCTGGGTCCGGTGCACAGGGGATGGAGGTCCCGGGATCAGCCCGGTGTCACAGTTCCCGCTCCAGCCCATTTGTGCCCGTGCAGCAGCACAGAGGGGAGCGGATCCACCTTGCAGCACGCCCTGATAATTAGCAGAAAGCTGCGAGTTCATCAGCGTGACATCCTTTCATAGCGAGGGCATGATCCGTATCCCTGCTGGGAGTAGGGTTGCTTTCTGGGGCTGCTGTCAGAGCAGAAGGATCAGGGTGTCCACCTCTCCGGCATCCCTGCTCCTCCTGCGTGGGACCGCAGCTGCCCTGTGCTCCCCGGCAGCAGGATGCTCTAATTTGGGAATTTGCCCTCGAGGGAATGAGCCCGCTTCGTTAGCCAGCCTGCAGGATGAGGTCAGAACCCTAATTAAGAATGCTAACGGCATCTTGGCCACAGCATGGCCCGTTAGTGGTGCGCTAAGAGAAGTGTTCCTTCATCCCCACCTCCTCATCCTCATCCATCACCCCTGGGTTCAGGCTCACCCTGAAATCCGGGTTTAGGGCGGATGGACTCCAAAGCGTCGTCCCCTTTGCCATGAGCAGCCGGAGCCTTTCCCAGCCAGTCCTCCCCGTGGCACATCCCAGGGAGGTCCCCAGGGCTGGGTGTCCCTGTCACCGCTCTCACTCCCTCCCGGCAGGTGGAAGAAGCCGACGACTGGCTCCGGCACGGCAACCCCTGGGAGAAAGCCCGTCCCGAGTACATGCTGCCCGTGCATTTCTACGGCCGCCTGGAGCAAACTGCCACCGGCACCAAGTGGGTCGACACCCAGGTAGGGGCTGGGGTGCGGGGAACACCCCTGGCATGGCTTGTCCCCATCACCTGGGGGCTCTCGCTGGCTGTCTGCACCCTGGTCCTGCCAGCATCCCTGCTGGGGAGGGTTGCGCTGGTGAGGATGCTACACTGGGGTGGAAGAGACAAATTGAGGAGGAGATGGATGTAGGGATGGGTTTTGCTGCTCCACATCTACAGGAAAACCTCTGAAATACCCAAAATTGCCTCCAGCAGGTCTGTGTGCAGTGCACAGCCTGGCACAATGGCTTAAATTGAGCTTCTCCAGACCCTCGCAAGCCTCTCCCCATCCCCCGAGTGCTTCTGGCAAATGCCAGACCCGGGGGAGCTGGGGTGTCCCCAGGGCAGGGGCTGGGGGTACCAAGCACGTCGCCGCAAGTGCCACCCCATGAACCC